ATTTTATCATGAAGCTCTAAAATGCTTTCTACTTCTTTATAATATTGGTTAATAATAACTTTTTTGAATATTTCATTATGTATTAACCATAAATCTTTATGTTTCATAATATTGACCTTAAAAAATACAAGAAATCTTTTCCATTCTTATTATGATATTTCACAAACAGATTCTATCTCTGGATATGTTAATCCTTTTTAAGTTAGAGCTAGGACAAGTAGAACATTTCTAAATTTTTCTTTATCAAGCAATCCAGAATTAGAGAAATATTCTAATTGGAATTGAAATAGATCCTCGACAACTTTCATTGACTTAAAGTGATCAGGATTTAAGGAATTAAGAATATTTTCAATCAATTAAGTATCTATTTCATTTTCTTCAACAACTCCTTCTGTTGGATAAGGCACAAATACTGAGAAATAGGATCTTACAAATAAAGGTTGATTTCGAACTTTATAATTGAGTTGAATGAAGATATCTAAAATGTGATCAAATTTCTATAGATTTATTTTAAAAAGCAAATTACTTAGACAAAAAGTTTTTTTCCTAAATGATTATTGACCATTTATTTCATAAATGCTTTATCAGATACAATAGGTATAACTTAGCAATCTGGTTTAAGTAATCTCATAGAAGCTGATTGTCTTTCAGCAGTTACAATAACTTTAATATTAGTGGGAAAGTATTTAGGTAACCAAAAGTTCACATTGGCTTCTCTATGCATATCCAATATTTCTCTAAAATTATCAATACCTTCAAATACCAAAATTACCTTGATATTAATAGTTTATGCAATACCTTATCATATATTATTTCTGCTCCATTAATAATTTATTGTTCTAATTGTCTACTACATATTTCTAGCCAATATTAAAAATATCGTCTAAGCTTCTCTTCTAAGAGCTCCACTTTTTATTTAATATTCAAAGCTTCCCTTAATTTAATTAGGATTCTATATATTGCATAATAATAATTGCTATTTTTTCCTGATTAAGTGGCAAAATGTGGAATGATGAAATCAGGATATCGCTATTATTTACAAGTTTCTTACTCCTTTTTTATTTCTGGCATGATATTCCATCCATTTTACCAAGAGCGTTTTCTTTCCAATTCCATCATCTGCTTCAAGTACTAATGGAGTATTCGTATGCAAAGTTTTTTCTTCTTCTAACCACTACTCGATTTCCAAAAAATATCTATCTAATCCAGACACTTATCTAGCCATAAAAAATTTATCTACTAATTTTTGTAATACTCCACAATCACATCGTTTGAGCTAGACTATCTAATTAAGATTACTCAACAAAGTTCATATTTTCATTTCGCATTGATTCCAACTTGCTCTTTCGATCCGGTGGAGTTGAGGCTTGGCGTGAATATGCATCATCCATCTTTTTTCAGAAAATTATATTATAATTATTTTTAAACTAATACATCAACATAAATATAACATTTTTTGTCTTGAAACATTTATTTACATCATTAATAATATATATAAATCATAATTATTATTTATTCTTTAGTTATCTCATCATTCTTTCATTATCTTACCTTATTACTTATATCTATTAAATCTATATTATTTTAATACCTTTTCTTAAAGACTAATTAAATCATTTTCTGTCAAATCTTACTCATTTAAAATTTGTGATAATCTTCTATTTTCATCTTGAAGTAATTTCAGTTTATCAAAACACTCTTCATATAATTTCAACTTGAATTCTTCCTTTTAACATGATTATTTTAAGATTTCTTCCTCCTTTCTGCTTTTAATCAATTTCTCCTTGACAATATCATTTTCGTGCTTTTGTTTCTGAATAGTATTAGCAAGATTATTCCCATTTTTTAATTCTAAATTTATTCTATCATTTTCTAAAATCAAATTTTAGACTTTATTTTCTAACTCCTAAACCAAATCGTTCAATTCTTATGAGGTATCATTCTAGATCTTTCCTTCTAATTCTTAGCAACGTACTTTATAATTTTAGATTTCAGTCTTTAAAACAGCTAATTGATTATAGGCCATTTTTCGATCATTTTAATATTTGACAATTAGATCTCTTAATGCCAATACATCAGGTACTTTGATTAACTGTGAATTATCAAGCTGCAATTATTTATTCATCTAATTAAGTAATTTTATTTTATCTTCCAGTTCTTTAATTAATTGTACTGATTAAACTCTCTAAGCTTCAGATTCTAATTTTTAAATTTCTTAAGTCATCTTAATACTTTGTTATTATAAAAATTTAAGCTCTTCTTACAGAGCAAATGTATTGGTATAATTGACAACTTTTTATGAATTTTATTAAAACAAAGTAGGTTAAACAAAGGAAGAAGAATGAGCAATTTGTTTAGGTTATTGTTGTAGTGGTACTTACGGGGCTTATGAAAAGAATTGCTATTATTTCTAATCTCTAGTATTGGGAGATTAGAATTAAATTTAAGGAGATTACAGCTGATGTTAAGGTGAAAGTAAATATGGTTAACGATTTTGAGGAGATTGTAATATTTAAGCATTCTCATGTCTTTATTGAGGACTCATGGGAATAAAAGGAGCAGTTTAAGAATTGAATTGATTGGAATCCTCTTTTTATGGTTATCTTCCTCCTCCTACTTTGAATTATATTTTGTATTCTGATGCATTTGGAGTTTATTAATGTGTCAATTGTTTAGTTGGTGCCACTGGTTTATTGATCATTTCCATATCACTGGCTGTCTTTTGCATTAAACTCTTATTCTCAACATTGTTGAAGGGTGAACGAACTTAGAATTAATTGTATAATTGTGTAGGATTAGCTATTTTATATTCAGAAACAGGATACCTATTTGTTTATTTTTAGAGACTTAGAATTATTGCATGACTAACAGCCAAATTTTTATTAATAAGAAATTCAATAATTTACATTCAATATTTATAATCATTTGTTATGATAGCTTTTAGAAATGTTAGCAAGATTTAGCAATGAATCCCATATTCTACACTAAGAAAGGCAATATATAAGGAATTCAAATTGAAGTTCTCTGTTTCATTATAATTTTGAATAACTCTTTTGAATGTGTTGTAAAGTCCGAAGTCACATAACATCACCAAAAATAGAATAGACCTTTCATCATATTACATAAAATAAATCATCATTTAAAAAATTGTAAACTTTATATCCAAATTTAGTAAATGAAACTATTTAAAATTTATTTATAGTTTATCTTAAATCTTATTTGATTATTCCTAACAATCTCTATCTAATTTCTTTCCCCTCAATCAATTTGTACTCAAAATAAAGCATCCAATTTTGTTTAATCATTGCATTTATATTTAGTCTCCCCGTTTCCATTTTCTATCATCAGATGCATTAATTCAAGAGAAAGTACATTTTCTTTTATTGGATCACCCAATGCTAAACATAATACACTGCTAGTTTTTACAATTCCAGGAGGACGAGATATTAGGTATATTTCCCATTGTTGCTATCGGTTTTAGTTTATCTACTATAATTTAAATTATCATTAACTTCTTCTAAAGTTTTTAGGATATTTTTCTAACCAAGTTAATTTTTACCGTAAAGCCTCTATTTTTGCATAATTTAGTCAAATTCACAACAATAATTATAATTCTGAATTCCTTTAGGAATTTTTTTTTTTTCTATAAAAGGCGAATTGTTTCTATTTTTTTTAAATTGTTGTAGTACCAACTATTAATCAACTTTCAATTTTTCATTTAAACAATCATTGAAATACTAGACACATACTATCCTCTCGAAAAACTGTTAATATTTTTGATATTTTATGATTATTATGTATTAAATATCTTTATTAAATGATGATACTCTGAACAATCCTCAAATATGAAGATGTTCTTTATCAATGCTTCAATTTTTAATATCATCATTAATATCATCTATTTGAATAAAACGAATTTAAATAAACATAAAATATTTGTGATTTAATAAAGAGTAATATGTAAACCTATTTAACCAACGCTTAAATTTTTTCTTCATTTTAATTTTAAGACAGTCAACCTTAGTTTAATTGAAGATGCGGGTATGCAAATTAAATAAATTTATAAATAGATTTATATCAAAAATAAATTACGGTTTTAAAATATACTAATAGATTTAGCTGATTTTATAATAATTTAACATGAAAAAAGAACAGGATATTGGTTAACACTGTTATCAAGATGAAAAAATTTCATATAAATGATTTCAATTTCTTAATAAAATTCTGCTGATTTGTATTAAATTTATTGTTATCCTTATTTTCATATTTTTTGCAAAAATACAAAAATATACTTTTAAAAGTCAAAATATCCTTTTTCATATTATGATGAATAAAATCTTTTATTTCAAAGAATTAATTGACCCATAAAAAATATAAATTATGAAAACCAATTCAATATATGTTTTTTATAATAATATTGCATCAAATATCAACTAACTCTATGCTTAAAAGCCTTTATGGGCCCTAATCAAATAAAGCATATAATTTCAACTAATTTTCAAAAATTCTGATTAGCAATACTTCATCTCTCAACACTATTTTTTTAAGTCTAAAAGTATATGCTATTCTATGATGAAATGAATTGTGGCATTGTTGAAAAAATATAATTTCTTACAATTTAGTTCCTTTCTCATAATTAGATTTAAAAAATTGGCTCTTAATTTTCTTATTCGTGGCACATTGGATTATGATTTCTATGTGGACATGTGGTAAACTTTTATCTATACTTTCTAGATTTTGACATACCTCATTATAAACTTATTAAATTAAATCCAGGATCTTAAGTTAAATTCTACTATCTTCATGAGATGCAAATGTAGATTGGAATGTTTATGTTATTTCCAAATCTTAAAATGAAAAATTAGAAGTTTCTCTCAGATTAGTATTTTCTTTTAAATTATAACAAAAATTCTTATACAAGAATTGATCGTTTGGGCAACTTACACAAACACTATCTTGACAACTTTTGCAATGGCAAGTTTATTAACATAAGTGACATCCATCTTCAAATACTAAATTACCGTCATCGCATTATTCTTCTGCAACAACTAATTTATCTCCACAAATAGATCGGCAAGCATTATTAATATTTTCAAATCCTTACTTACATACTAAACAACCATATCCTCCAATACTACATTTCAAACAGGAAGTATTACATCTAGGATCATGGTGGTAATCGAAAATTTCAATACAGTCATTCTTAAATATTGAAAACCCTTCATAGCAATCAATACAAACACCTTATTAACAATTAGAACAACCTATAGGGCAAACCTTTTAACACTGATGACAGCCATCTTCAAATTTTAAATTTGCATCATCACATTATTCATCAGCGATAAGTAATTTATCGCCACATATAGGATAACAAACATTATTGATATTGTTAAACCCAGCTAAACAAACTAAACAACCAAGTCCTTCACTACTGCATTCTTAACATGAAAAGTTACATCTTGGATCTTAAAAGATATCATTAATTTCAATGCATTAATGTTTAAAATAAGAGAAGCCTTATTGGCAATCAATACAAACACCTTATTAACAATTAGAACAACCTATAGAGCAAACCTTTTAACATTGATGACAGCCATCTTCAAATTTTAAATTTGCATCATCACATTATTCTTCTGCAACAACTAATTTATCNGTTATCAAGATGAAAAAATTTCATATAAATGATTTCAATTTCTTAATAAAATTCTGCTGATTTGTATTAAATTTATTGTTATCCTTATTTTCATATTTTTTGCAAAAATACAAAAATATACTTTTAAAAGTCAAAATATCCTTTTTCATATTATGATGAATAAAATCTTTTATTTCAAAGAATTAATTGACCCATAAAAAATATAAATTATGAAAACCAATTCAATATATGTTTTTTATAATAATATTGCATCAAATATCAACTAACTCTATGCTTAAAAGCCTTTATGGGCCCTAATCAAATAAAGCATATAATTTCAACTAATTTTCAAAAATTCTGATTAGCAATACTTCATCTCTCAACACTATTTTTTTAAGTCTAAAAGTATATGCTATTCTATGATGAAATGAATTGTGGCATTGTTGAAAAAATATAATTTCTTACAATTTAGTTCCTTTCTCATAATTAGATTTAAAAAATTGGCTCTTAATTTTCTTATTCGTGGCACATTGGATTATGATTTCTATGTGGACATGTGGTAAACTTTTATCTATACTTTCTAGATTTTGACATACCTCATTATAAACTTATTAAATTAAATCCAGGATCTTAAGTTAAATTCTACTATCTTCATGAGATGCAAATGTAGATTGGAATGTTTATGTTATTTCCAAATCTTAAAATGAAAAATTAGAAGTTTCTCTCAGATTAGTATTTTCTTTTAAATTATAACAAAAATTCTTATACAAGAATTGATCGTTTGGGCAACTTACACAAACACTATCTTGACAACTTTTGCAATGGCAAGTTTATTAACATAAGTGACATCCATCTTCAAATACTAAATTACCGTCATCGCATTATTCTTCTGCAACAACTAATTTATCTCCACAAATAGATCGGCAAGCATTATTAATATTTTCAAATCCTTACTTACATACTAAACAACCATATCCTCCAATACTACATTTCAAACAGGAAGTATTACATCTAGGATCATGGTGGTAATCGAAAATTTCAATACAGTCATTCTTAAATATTGAAAACCCTTCATAGCAATCAATACAAACACCTTATTAACAATTAGAACAACCTATAGGGCAAACCTTTTAACACTGATGACAGCCATCTTCAAATTTTAAATTTGCATCATCACATTATTCATCAGCGATAAGTAATTTATCGCCACATATAGGATAACAAACATTATTGATATTGTTAAACCCAGCTAAACAAACTAAACAACCAAGTCCTTCACTACTGCATTCTTAACATGAAAAGTTACATCTTGGATCTTAAAAGATATCATTAATTTCAATGCATTAATGTTTAAAAAAAGAAAAGCCTTAATGGCAATCAATACAAACACCTTATTAACAATTAGAACAACCTATAGGGCAAACCTTTTAACACTGATGACAGCCATCTTCAAATTTTAAATTTGCATCATCACATTATTCATCAGTGATAAGTAATTTATCGCCACATATAGGATAACAAACATTATTGATATTGTTAAACCCAGCTAAACAAACTAAACAACCAAGTCCTTCACTACTGCATTCTTAACATGAAAAGTTACATCTTGGATCTTAAAAGATATCATTAATTTCAATGCATTAATGTTTAAAATAAGAGAAGCCTTATTGGCAATCAATACAAACACCTTATTAACAATTAGAACAACCTATAGAGCAAACCTTTTAACATTGATGACAGCCATCTTCAAATTTTAAATTTGCATCATCACATTATTCTTCTGCAACAACTAATTTATCTCCACATATAG